AATAACCTAATAAAAGTAAATGTAACAACTACTACAGTGCAACAAAACAGGAAGATTAAATGTGGTCTCTTAAACATAAGATCTCTAGCATCTAAAGCAATATTGGTAAATGATTTAATATCAGATTATAATATTGATATATGCTGTCTCACTGAAACTTGGTTGAGACATGAAGAATATGTCAGCATAAATGAGGCCACTCCACCCAGCCATATCAATACTCATATTGCCCGGGGCACAGGCCCGAGGAGGTGGAGTTGTAGCAATCTTTGACTCAAGTTTACTTATCAATACTAAACCAAAATTAAATTATACCTCCTTTGAAAGCCTCGTTTTTAGTCTTACGCATCCGACCTGGAAAACTTTGCAGCCAATCTTATATGTTACAGTGTACCGTGCACCAGGTCCTTATTCAGAATTCTTATCAGAATTCTCTGAGTTTTTATCAACTTTGGTACTTAAAACAGATGAAGTAATTATCGTAGGTGACTTTAATATTCATGTTGACGATGATAAAAATAGCCTTACTGTTGCATTTAACTCTATGTTAGATTCTGTTGGTTTCTGTCAGAGTGTAAATAAACCAACCCACTGCTATAATCACACTCTCGACCTTGTTCTGACTTATGGTATTGAAATTGAGCAACTATTAGTCGAACCGCATAATCCTGCTTTATCCGACCATTTCTTAGTAACTTTTGAAGTACTGTTAATAGACTACAAAGCATTAGTCAAAAGCTCCTGCAGCAGAAACCTCTCTGTTAGTGCTATAGCCAAATTTAAGGAAGAGATTCCACCAATACTTAACTCGATAGCATGTAAGGGAGGAAACTTATACAAAATGTACACCACCCCAAATTGATCATGTTGTTGATAGTGCTATAGATGCGCTGCGAATAAAATTAGACTCTGTTGCTCCTTTGAAAAAGAAGAAAATAAAACAACATAGACTAGCTCCATGGCATAATGCCGAAACCCGCAAAATAAAGCAAAAGTCGAGACAACTTGAAAGGATATGGCGTTCCACTAAACTTGAAGAATCTCGTTTAATTTGGCATATTACTCTCAATGAATATAAGAAAGCACTGCGTAAAGCGAGAGCAGCCTACTACTCTTCATTAATAGATGAGAATAAGAATAATGCAAGATTTCTTTTCAGCACTGTAGCCAGGCTGACATAGAGCCACAGCTCGATTGAGCCTTCTATTCCCATAGCACTCAGTAGCAATGATTTTATGTGCTTTTTTAATGATAAAATTGTTACTCTTAGAAACAAAATCAATGACCTCTTGCCTTTGACCAGTATAGTGTTATCAACAGCTCCCGGAAACGTAAGTTCTAATATTACACTAGATAGTGTTGGATCAAGGAGTGGTCTGAAACCCACCTCGGCTCCGTGTGTTCTTTGATGAGCTGGTCAGATTTATAAAAGAAGGAATTCAGAGCACCAGATAAAGGGTTAAACAATAATCTGTTTTAATGGTAAAAGAACAACAATACACATACAGAGCACTCTGCAATAGTACAATACAGAGCGCTCCGGGCTCAATTCCTACCACGACAGCCAGTCAGGAAAAGAGCCCCGATTATGAACATTGGGACAGCTTAAATACAAATTCTGTGGGAGGGGTTGTGACGGTTGCTCCTCCTCAGCTATTTGTTATTGGCGATTTCACTTCTGGGCGAGCCCTAGACTGTGAGCTGGTAGTTCTCCATTGGCCAGTTTCACTTCTGGGCGGGACCCTAGGCAATGAGTCAGCAGTTGTTGACTCTGTCTGATTCGCTCCCTCTCCTTACTGTGTGTGTGTGTGTGTGTGTGTGTGTGTGTGTGTGTGTGTGTGTGTGTGTGTGTGTGTGTGTGTGTGTGTGTGTGTGTGTGTGTGTGTGTGTGTGTGTGTGTGTGTGTGTGTGCGTGTGCGTGTGCGTGTGTGTGCGTGTGCGTGTGTGTGTCTAAATAAGAATGTTTCCTGCCATGCAAACTGCTCCTACTTCATACAGAGTAATTAAGCACATTTAAGCCAACTACTTCACAATGTTGTGGCAATTTAGTACTCACAACATGAAAGAATAAAACAGAGAGAAATCAATAAAACACAAACACAGGTATAGTTAAGCAGTAATTATACAGCATATATATATATCCACTGCAATGAACACACACATATGCAGCATTCCAGAGGCTTGAGCTGTGTGCAAATAAGGATATCCAGCATATATATAGCCACTACAATGAACACACACATTCCACCATGCAGCATTCCAGAGGCCTGAGCCGTGTCCAAACAAGGACACCCCATCTCTCACATCTCCTAATAGAAAGGTTTGACTTCTCATATTTCCAGCTTCTTGTTATACAGACTGCTATTATTTAATACAAAGTAATTAAGTACACACATATATTTAAGCAAACTCACGTCTGGACACTAGGAACACAGGTTACTTCAATAATAGTAAACTAGAATGCTTTTCAGCCATTAACCTTGAACAATTAAATGCAATGATTCTCTCTTCTAAATCATCAACGTGTATCTTAGACCCAATTCCAACTAAGCTGTTGAAGGAAGTTTTTCCATTAATTAGCACTTCTTTATTAAATATTATGAATATGTCTTTGTTATCAGGCTATGTTCCACAATCATTCAAAGTAGCAGTGATAAAACCGCTTCTTAAAAAGCACAACCTCGATCCAGAGGTTTTAGCCAACTATAGACCTATTTCTAATCTTCCGTTCCTCTCAAAAATTATTGAGAAAGTGGTCGCAAAACAGCTGTGTGATTACTTAAAAAACAATGATTTATTTGAAGATTTTCAGTCTGGCTTTAGAACACATCATAGCACAGAGACAGCTCTGGTTAAATTCACAAATGACATTCTAATAGCCTCAGACAAGGGACTTGTCTCTATTCTTGTTTTGCTCGATCTCAGTGCTGCATTTGATACTATCGACCATGATATCCTATTGCAAAGACTAGAGCACTTAGTTGGCATACAGGGAACTGCTTTAGGCTGGTTTAGGTCCTATCTATCTGAACGCTCTCAGTTTGTACGTGTCAATGATGAATCTTCCACGCAAACCAAAGTTAGCCATGGAGTGCCACAGGGCTCAGTACTCGGACCTATTTTGTTCACATTATATATGCTTCCGTTAGGCAATATTATAAGGAATCATTCTGTAAACTTTCATTGTTATGCGGATGATACTCAACTATATTTATCAATCAAGCCTGATGAAATTAATCATCTAAATAAAATTCAAGACTGCCTTAAGGACTTAAAAACATGGATGACCTTACATTTTTTTATGTTAAACACGACCAAAACTGAAGTTATTGTACTTGGCCCGAAGAATCTACGAAACAAATTATCTAAAGATATACTAACTATGGATGGCATTAATTTAGCCTCCAGTGAGACTGTAAGGAATCTTAGTGTTATATTTGATCAGGATTCATCCTTTAACGCCCACATAAAATCAATTACAAGGACCGCCTACTTCCATCTACGTAACATTGCAAAAATCAGGCATATCTTGCCTCAAAACGATGCAGAGAAACTAGTCCATGCATTTGTTACTTCAAGGCTGGATTATTGTAATTCCTTATTATCAGGGTGTACCAAGAAGTCAGTCAAGTCGCTTCAGCTGATTCAAAATGCTGCAGCTCGTGTACTAACCAGAGTTAGGAAAAGGGACCACATTACTCCTGTTCTGGCTGCCTTACACTGGCTCCCTATAGAACACAGGATATCATTTAAAATTCTTCTTCTCGCCTACAAAGCCCTTAATGGGCAGGCGCCATCTTACCTTAAAGAACTCATTATACCCTACTGTCCTACTAGGGCATTGCGTTCCAAGAATGCAGGGTTGTTGGTTGTTCCTAGAGTCTCTAAAAGTACAATGGGAGCCAGAGCCTTTTCTTATCAAGCTCCACATTTGTGGAATCAGCTTCCAGTTTGTGTTCGGGCGGCAGACACCCTATCCGTTTTTAAGAGTGCGCTTAAGACCTTCCTTTTTGATAAAGCTTATAGTTAGGGCTGATTAGATTCAGCAACCTATGTTGCAAATGTATTATCTTTTAATTTACACACGGCATCTATTGCACGTCTGTCCGTCCTGGGAGAGGGATCCCTCCTCTGTTGCTCTCCCTGAGGTTTCTCCCATTTTTCCCTTTAAACTGTGGCTTTTCTCCGGAAGTTTTTCCTTGTACGATGTGAGGGTCTAAGGACAGAGGGTGTCGTATTGTCATACTGATATTCTGTACAAACTGTGAAGACCACTGAGACAAATGTAACATTTGTGATATTGGGCTATATAAATAAACATTGATTGATTGATTGATCATTATTTATTGAGCAGTATACTCTTTCAGATTGAATCATAACAAGTCATACTGAATGTAAATACAACTGACTCTAAAGTAAGTCCCAGTCTGTGACATTGGACATTTTGAAGACTCAAAGTCCCAAGCAGTAGGTAGAATATTAGCTAGTCTATGTAATGTGCACATAAAATAAATAGTTAACTGAATACTGGGATGGAAATTGCCTATAAGCACTCAGTAAAACTTAAACACACACAACAAGCTTCTGAATGATAAGAAGTATAATTAAAACACAATGCACATTACCATTTTGAGAGAGAGTACCTAAGTTAAAGAACTCAGAAAATAATCTCTTATCGAACTGAGGCTCCAGTAAAACACACTGACTGCATGGACATCAGTAAGCCGTTTATGAGTATTATCCCGGTTATGATCATATTGGGGATATGGTGTTTACATGAGCACAGAGAGATCGGGTTATTAATGTTCCCTGTTTACATGATAAATACTAGTAACCTGGCATTTCGATGCCTTTTCTCATCTAAACTATTCAGTATTTGTATGTGAGACGCTTTTGCCGCCGCCGCCGCCATCACTGTTAAGTTACGATACGATACGATATTACTTTATTTGTCAGATCAAGTCTGAAATTTGACTTGTGTCACAGCAGCTCCATGTCCAACATCAACAGACAAGTATCCAGACACAATACATGAAACACAAACAACAAACATTTAACATAACAGCACAATCAGTGCATTTGATCTGGGATTTAGCTCTGTATTTACTGTGAGGATTGACTGATGCACAAAGGAGTGCTTCAGTCTGACTTTATTGAATCGTGGGACCCTGTATCTCCGATTAGATGGTAGCAGTTCATATTCACTGTTCAGAACATGGTTTGGGTCAGAGATTAACTGCTACCAGCTGAAGACTTACTTTCCTCTTCTTTGAAGAAAATGTTCTTATGTTCATGTTGTCTGGGGGAGAAAACATATCAAACCAAGAGATCGTCAGCTTTGATTTTCGCTGTATTAACAATGTCCTGAACATTTGGTGTGTGTGCCTTTACTGCCTTACCTCCGCTACCGGCATCGCTTCATACAACAGGTCTGAGCTGTCCAACTATGACAACACTCCTTGAACATGCGCGCGCTATGTGAGAATCTGCCTTGGTACAAAGTAGCAGTGAAAACATGGTACGGAGTTTCATTGATTTGGGCATTCTCTCAATAAGCAAGTGGAATGGATTTGATAGTGAAGCACTGGCACAGCGCTCTAAGAAGTGCGGCGAGTGGATAGACCGATTCACGGACTTTCCACATGGTAAAAGTGGGGGGGTCTAAACTAATCATTTGAAAAAGTGGGGGGGACTTGTCCCACCCTCATATAATGGCTGCGACGCCCATGGATATCACTCATAAGTTAACTGAAGTCACAATTGTTTTCCTCCACTAAAATAGAGATAGCTAAGATAAGATAACTTTAACAAGATGCCTGTGTGCTTAGTACCAGGTTGTTATCATACCAGCAATGGGTCTTGCTCGTTCTTTCGCTTCCCATCTGATGAAAGGACCAGGAGTGGCTGGATTAAGGTAGCTACCTAGCTAGTAGCAAGCACGTTAGTTAGCATTACAGCCGGCTTAGCCTTGTCATTTTTATTAGCCTTAACATGAAGTAACATTAAGTAACCCAAAATGTTAAACAGTAAGAGTAGTATTCATATTTCGTGAACCTTTGAAGAGTACTGTCACACCGGTGTGATCATTCTATGATACACCATTTAAGCCCGGGGGATAAATGCTAACGCTACATTAGCATCGGCGATCTTTTGTACTTGCTATCTGAACAAATGGTTGACATTAAACATTAAAAAGACCAGGCAGTTCAGAGAGAATCAAAGGAAGGCAGGCAGGCAGCTTTGCATGACATTCTTCTGGACGTGTTTCATTGTGGTGATAGTGAGGGTAGTCAATCCCTTGTTTAGCAAGACAGTAGTGACGGCCATCTTGGTGACTGTTGGAGAAATATTTTCCAAGGTCCATAACTTTGACCAAGTTTATCAGTTCAAACTGTCCTGACTGAGCACACGCACCTGTAACCTTGGCTGCTGTGCTCTCAGTGTTTTGTCTCCCTGTTCCTGCCTGTCGGCGTCATCTGATAGAGGTGTTATGATTCTATCTTGTAATGCAAAATGTTGATTATTCTCTCTGAACTAGCTAAACACATGGGTCTGGGGTAGAGTTCTTCAGATTTGACGTGGCAACTCTACCGTGAAGTCAGAACCTCTGACTCTTTGACTTGTGATGTGAATTCTCCGGCCGAAGCTCCTAAATAAACCATCAGTGTTTGACATCAAAGCTCCAGCTCTCTTCGTGTCTCTCTGAGTCCTGACTCTCCATTGCTACATAAGTTTCCCTTACAAATTGGCGTTGTCGGCAGGATACCAACAAATCTTCAGAACTGGTAAGTGTAATTTCAAATCCACATTTGGACATTGCCTTACCAGAATCTGTGATTGACGGTATCCTAAAATTACCTGTGAAACTGAGCGGTTGTGTTTCGTTTTTTGGTTGATGATAATTTGGGTAGTAAACCCAGGGAATCAGTGTCTGGGGACTTTTGTCCTGGCTGATTTTCTCTGTGTATGCTGCTCGGGACGTATGTGCCATACAAGCATGCACAGCTCATGTTCGGAAAACCTTAAAGAAAGACATCAGTAAAGTGGAGCTTCTGTATGAAAGCAATGTAAAGATTTGTATTGGACAAATCGCCGAATTCTGGGGGTTTCAGCGGCCAACACTAGCAGTTGAGAATAAGCAGCTGGAGATATTATCCCCATCGCCTCTCTAAACACGGCTCCAGCAGCAAGCTCGGGGTGTGTGTGTAAATACCTCCCCGTATCTGTGGCTGGGGAAGTGCACTGAGAGGGAGAAAGTCACAGCTTTTGTCTATAGCTTTAACTCACACCACCGCCATCTCTATTAAAAAACGAGACTGTCTAAAAGCACTCTCGTTGTTTGTGACCGTCTTCGTCTACGTGCTGGTAAGACGGGGCAGCGTGAGGTGACCTGATGCGCCACAGTTCCCTACATTGCTGGAGGAACTGGTGCCGGTCCGGGGTGCATACATAAAATTATAGGCTAATTGATCATGGCTGGGCAGTGGCAGGCGAATGTAGAACAAAAATGAAGCTTAGCACAAGTTCAATGAGGAAGACCAATACCCCCTGCTGTTACACGTCACTTCAATCTCCTCTTCCATTAAGTAATCAGGGGCGTTACTCCCCAGCTAGCCAATCATCGCACCTGCTAACCCCTTTTAAATCTGCTCTTCCCTCTCTGTCAGTTGTCATTTCAGGTGTCAACGCACAACCCTCCTCCACCCCTTCGCCTCCTTTCTCCTAATTCAGGGCCAAGCTAATCCTTCTTCCTTCAGACCAGACCGAACCACTTATCACCACCACCAGTGTCTAGACCCCGGGGGGGTTCATCTGAGCGGTTTTCCCCTCCCGAATGATCATCCTACAAACCGGGGCCTAATCTCCAAACATCAGTTAATTCATTGTTGTAATCTGTCAATCATCATTTTCTTATACCATGCGTCCCGGTAATAAACATGTATTTCATACATCACGTCTCTCCTGATTGAACTGTGTTTCATCGTTGTGATGAACTCGATAGCGAGTGTATAGGCTGGTCCGTGTAGGACTACAATTAACTGTGCTGTTGTTGGAGAGAAAGGTAGAGAAAAAAAGTCTATGCGCTCCTGATCGGGGGGCATAGCGCCACTAGAATAGAGTAGTGGTTGTCGCAAGAGGATAAGCTAGTTATCGCTCTTGGACGGTCATCAGGCACCGATCTCAGGACTTGTATACAAGGGTGGAAGCGTGAGTCAAGGTGCCCATCTAAACAGATAATTCCCTACCCCCTCTGAAACCTCTTAATTCGGACTAAATTGAGCTGGATGAACTTTGCTGTTGCGCTGGTGTTTAATACGAGTTCATGTTTGTTTGTCTGATTGTTTGTATCGGGGGTCTATATTGGTTTGTCTACCCGCCGTCTTGTGTATGTTTTGTAACAACTAATAATGAATCAGTCCATAGCCAGGGTAAAATAAACTAAACTTTAGTTTATTAATAATAATAATGAAAAGATGTAAAGCAAAATGTTGGTAGTATAAATGTGCTGCAAAATGAAAATAAATAGCAAAAGAGTGTTTTTATGTCCTGCATCTGAGTGTGCAGAGGAAAATGTAAACAAGAAACACACTGTTCAGGGTGTGCGCTGTAGGTGTAAGAAGAAAATAAGATGATATTGCTTTAAGAATACATTTTAAATTGTATTGCTGGTATGTTAAGATATCTTTGTGACCTTGTATAAACCCTATGCCCCGTCCTGCGCCCCAAGACCCTCAGAGGCATCACTGCTGCTTGTAAGACCTATCTGAGGAGATCAGGGTTGAAAAAATATATATATCTGTCTGCTCAATTAGGTCAATGTTGTATTATTTGTTTCATTTATTCTTAATCTATGTATTGTATGGTAATAATGAATAAAAACGTAATGTATTGAACACATTCTGAAACAAAGCAGATAAGACAGAACTAGACTCAGACATAATACTAATTATGGTTGAAACCTTTTGCGCTGTTGCTGCAAAATGGAAACTTTGTTGATTGTCTATTCCAACTGGCCACTGGAATCAGATA